CATACATATCCTATCTTCTATATCTCTCTCTTGTGTGTGGTTATAAGTGTTTGTGTCTTACTATTGACACAAACACTAGTGTTACACTCTTTTTCTGGTTCTGAAGGGCCAGTGGTTTGTTCATGAGAGTTTGGAGCTGTTTTGGGGCTCAGAGGAAGGGGCTGGTCCACCATTCTGGTGAAGAAGGTCAAGCAGGGTAACAATCTTCACCTCCTTTTAACCCCATCTTGCATACTATTTTTGCCTATCTTGAACTGTTCGAGACTAGTGAGTAACATAAAAAAAGTTCTTTTTTTTAGCCCTCAAATAGTTTGGTTTTAGAGTGTTTGTGGTTTGAGGTGTTTGACCCCTCTTGAAGCCTGTCAAGCTCCAGTTTTGCATTTTGTGTTAAGCTCGAGAGCCTTGGGTTTGGGACCTCCTCAACTGAAATCTTGAGGGATTTTCGGAGGTAAGGATGGTGCCTTGAGTTCCCAAGGAAGGAGAGGGTCACCCCCTCTCCTTGTTGTCCCTTGAAAAGGGCCTTTTTGCCTCTTTAATGAGCACACTAGACTAAGCCTCATGTGCACATCGTCCTTGGCTGTTATATTTATGCTTATTTTTCCATGAAATAGCAATTGTTTGTATGTTGGTTTTGGTAAACACCATGTGTTAGCGTACAATGCTTGTAATGCCATTCTTGGTTGCCTTATACGAATGCCTAAGGTTGTTAAACCTTGTTTCAAGCATGTTTTAGCTACTTTGTGACAGCTTTTGGGTTTTTCTTGCCATGTAAGGTTGTTCCTTTAGGTTGTTTGGGTCGACCAAGGCATGCTTTAGTATTACGCCCTTTGCATTTTGGTTGGGCTTGAGTGTGTGAGTGTATAGCATGCTATACTTGCTGTTATTTCAGTGGTTCGCACCATTGTAGCATCATTGTCGAGTCGCCTATAGCCAATGCTTGTATGCTTGCCGTTGATGCCCCTTTGGATGCGCTTATGAGCTTGAGTTATTATGCACCTGAAAGTGCATTTGTGCATGCTTTGTGAGATTCAAGCCATTATGATGCCATCTAAGTGGTCTTTTTGGCTTTGGTTTTGTGTACTAAACTATTTTTTGTCATTAAAATTCATTCCATATTTGATGTTGCTAAGTGGGTCAAGATTATCCCTTTTAGCTTGCCTTGAATCTTGGACCCTCCATGTCCCATGCTTAGCCCTATCTTGTTTGCTGGTTGTGGCACCATGTTTCTTGCAATGATTTCAGAGCTTAATGACATGGCATTTAGTCCATGTTTGCATCCTCTTAAGTGTCTTGAGAATTGCTTTTAAATGCTTGAGATATTGACACCATTGCATGCATGTGCGGCGTGTGTGTTAGTCCTTCATTTTGGTGAACAGAGTCTCCTTGGCACTGTTTTAGGCTGTCTAGGCTTCCTACATCATGTTAGGACCAGTCCAACCTCTTTGTTTGTTGCATGTGACTTCTTGTATGTTGTAGATAAGGTGAGTTGTTGCAATAATTGACTTGGCATGATTGAATGAAGTACATGTTTGTTTAACATGCTGAAAGCCCCAATTGTGCTTGCTACTGTGTGTGCATTTATCTATGCCTTGCATGTCTTGTATGACTCTGTTGCATATATAATTACATATAGTCACATCTTTAATGATTGGATTGGCATTGGACATGCATGCTACACCAGATTGAATTGAGCATGAATATGAGTGGAGCCCCTTGGTGTCTTATTGTTGCTTCATTGAATTGAAGTGTGCATGTTAGTTCTTCCGGGCCATCAGCATGGAAGTGCGTGATTGGTGCGGCCGGAAGTCGAGGGTTCAACTGTCCCTTGAGTCATAAAAATTGATAAGGGATGTGATTGGTGCATACATTGCCTTGCAATGCGTTGCCAATGCCAAGTATTTTTGCCCTCTGCTGCTGTCAACAACAAGTTTTTCTGCAGGAACTTTGTCCGGACCGGCACGTATTAGTGGCCGATCGAGCCCACCATTTTTGGCCGATGTATCATAAGTTGGCCGGTGACACATTCTGAATGCGGTGGCTGTTCCCTTCTGCCAGGTTGGTCGAGTTTTCCAGGATCACGAGAACACTTGGGTTGGGAGGCAGTCGATACATTTACCTTGAGGGAAACGGCGACTACAGTATTGACGGAGAGAGGCAGCATCCAAAGGACCAGGTTGCAGTCCATAAAGAGAGGGCTCTGTGCTGGTGGTGATTTTCGAGCAAACAGCGCGCACTGCATTGGGCCTTCATCTGGGACTGTTTCTGTGCTTAATTAGATTACTTATTTGCTCAATTAATTTAGTTGGTCTGTTAAAAATTAATTTAGCTATGACGTAATTCACTATTCGACTGATTAATTCCTTTCGGTCCCTCGAGCGAGGGTAAATTTGTAATAAGTGTAGGTGCGTGTGGTGTGCATAGTCTTCCAATCCCCACTTCTTTCTTCCCCTTTTAATTTACCTGCTTATGAAAGGTAGATAGGGCCATAGTTTTAAATTAGCATACCTTTTATGCTATGCATGCGTGCATCCCATAACATTGTCTTGCATGCACCTAGGCTCGTACATCATTCTACTTGCATTTGTTAGCTTCCAAGTCCCAAATTTGGCATACTGCATCAAATGATTGCATTTCACATTCATGTTTAGGTTTGGCGGAGCCTACTCTAAATTGCATCCTTGATATGTGTTGCATTAGTCACATTCGACATGAACTAGGACCATGCAGTTGGCTAACTAGTTTATTGTTTGGCACGGAGTACGATGTAAGTATTTTCGTGCTTTAGCATATCGCATGCGTGCGAATGCTATCATGACGCATGCTTACCATGTGGGGTAGATGCTTATGTGATAAACTATTTGAATGCCTGTGGGTGAAGGTTGGATTGTCTGAGTTGAATGACTCATTGAAATCCGTGTTTTAGCCTACTTGCGAGTAGCAAATCCAAAACATTTTTCCCAAAGCAATCGGTATATGCAATGCTTATTTCCAAAATTAGGCGATCTAGTCTATACTTTGTGCTGTGCGGCATACATAGTAATTCTAGGCTTAATAATCGGGATAAGAACAATAACGTTTTCAAAAACGGATATCCACGGTTAGTAGAGGCCGACTTCGGATCGGGCAAGGTAGGGGGTGCTCATAGCTGACCTTCCCCAATCGTACCCTAGCTCCCGAGCCGAGGCAACTCTGGTGATGACGGACATGTGGCCTTCGGCACCGAGTCAGGGTTTCCTAAATTCCCCCATAAAAAATATTTAGGTGGCGACTCTGTATCTGGCAAAGCAGTCCATGTTTGGCACTTCTTTTCAAAAATCTGTTTCTCAAAACGATTTGCCGGATTTGGACTCTTTGGTTTAGATTAAGAACCGTGACACAAAATCGAGTCCGAGATGTAGCGAGGGCCCCCTCGCGAGCGCGTGCTACAGCGATCAACACAGTGTATGAGGAGATACATAAAATACAAAGCAGAAACCACACAGTGCATGAGCAAATATAGAAAATGCGAAGCAGAAAGTATACGGTGCATGAACAGATACAGAAAACGCATAGAAAAAAGTACATGTGTTGAACGAGTGTAAAGCAAGTAATGTTCAACAGAAAATGTAAAGTGAAGAAGGGGGGACTACGCTATGTACCACCCAAGCCCGCCAGTAGCCTCCACTCAAGCTCCCACTCCTGCGGGAAGTCGAGCTCATATATCCATACAAAGTGGTAAGGCCGGCCTCGCCCCAATCATAGAACTGAACTTGATAAAGCAATACCAAGGCGTTCAGCAAATACAGGCCCATAGTATTCCACCTGTTCGAAAACAAGGTGGCACCAAAAATGAACATAAGGAAGCCTCTGTCGTACTACTCTGTCACCTCGACTATCTCAGTCTCAGTCCCCCTAAACTGCTCCTCAATCCAACTGTACTGGACCATGCCTACCCAAAGTGTTGGGGGATGTGCCCCAAGCAGCGTGACTCATGCTGCCTCTCACTTCCCTATATCAGGCTCGAGAGGGATCGGATCACGCCCTATGCCCAAGCCAGTGATCAGGGCAAAGTCGTGAGGAGTCATCGTCATCTCTCCTGTGGTGGAAAAATGGAAGGAGTTGGTAGTGTCCCACCACCTCTCCACTAGAGCCCCTAAGAGAGTACGACTCGCTATAACCTGAGTCAGGCTAGAGCAGAAGATACCAAAGCCTGTCTCATCAATCTCGAGCGGTCGTCGTGCGATAGCCTCTGAAAGCACGAGACTCGTCCTGTGGTAATGCATGAGATGCAATCAAATCTAGGTAATGTATGAGATACAGTTGGATCAAGGCACTGCATGGGATCAGATCAAAACGGTGTATAAAATGCAAACAGTTAAGGGTAGTACTACAGAAAAAAAAGTTTTTGTACCTCTATGGCGATGGCCGACAAATGAGATGCCGGCTCTCTCAGCAAGAGGTCCTCTGGCATGTCCTCAGCAATGTTAGTAAAGGATTTGATGCCCCCTGTGGTGGGCGTTATGTGTGTCTGAGGATGGTACCTCGCTGGATTGAAAGGGGCAAGCGCCATCTGAAATAGGTGCAAGATGAGTGAAAAATGAGGAAACGTGAAGAAAAGGGAAAAACTTTGAAAAAGTCAACCCTAGGAGAGAGGAAAGTCAAAGAAAGTCAAAGCCGGGAAAAGTGTACAGAACTCAAGAGAAACTTGAGGGAAATTAGCCTAGAATGGTGGAAATGAGAAAAGAAGCATCGAAATCAAATTCCAATCAGCTCAAAGCAAAGAGAACTAGAGGATTTAGCAAAGAAAATGTTTATGGGGTGTTGGAAAACATGTAGAACGCACAAATCTAGAGAAAATGAGCACCTAGAGAGCAAGCGGGAGGAATTTCAGATATGGGGTTGTGTGGAAATGAAGTACCATTCTTTGTTTTTAAAGACTAGGATGTGAAAGTCAATTTTGCC